GAAGGCAAAAGAGACAAGAGGAAAACAACGCATAAGTTAATGAGCTTGAGCAAATGGATTGCGAAACAGGATTTAGAAGAAATAACAGAAAGACAAAATTTATTAAGAGCTACAAGGGACAGGAAGTTGTGGAGGGCCATGATCACCTACGCCCTGAGGGAACGCGGCACATAAAGAAGAAGAACGTGAGACTGTTATTACTCAGGGACCATTTAATCGTTTTGTCGAGACGGATAAGCCATATACACTATATAATAGCCTACAATTTCAATGCTAAGTTTTTATGCAATGTGATAGGTCCTTATCTAGCATCTCGTCTACAGTCACTTTTTCACAGACGCGATGTGGCTTCCATCTGTCTTTTATACAAATATTTTCATGGTAACTACTTTGACGAGCTATTTTTACTGATGCCCCAATTGCATGAATTTAAGCGTGCTACTAGGTTGGCATCTCGACCCCACCCTTTTACTATCGAAACAGTTAAATGTAACCGCCTCTTCTACTCCAACGGCTTCTTCTCTCGCACTTCCCGACATTGTAACTCCCTTCCTCTTACTTCCTCTTGCTTCCCTGATAACTATAATCTTCAGCAATTTAAATTTAATGTTAATCGAGATATTCTTGATCCTCGTCCTTCTCTTTATCCTTTTCCCAAACACTTCTCTTTACTCTTACTTTCACTCTCTGTAACGCCTTGTGTGCTAGTGGCATTCCCGCCTTGCTTGGGGTGAAATGCTTAAAAAAAATAACTTGGAACATTCTTGTCAGAACGAATATTTGTTGTTTTTCTCCAATTAAAATCTTGTGAAATGTAAAAGTAATAAATAATTTATATGGTAACTCGGAATATTGTTAGAAATGAAACAATAATTTAAAAATTGGTTAAACATTTCACAAATTTTATAGGCAATCCTTTTGAAAATAATGCCGGGGATATACATTTATTTGTTCTTTGAATCTGTACATATCAGCCATGATGTAGCTCGTTAGAGAATGATGATAACTGAAAAGCGAAAATAATTTCGAGTCTGCGCACCCATATTTAATAATAAGATCTCCATCAATAACCATGTAATAATTTTTAACATTACTTTAGGAGTAGCTGGAGACAATAACTATAAATAAATTCGTAATATAAAATATTCATAATAAAACAAATAAATTCGCAAAATTGATGACCGCCATATAAGAAATCACTGCATCTAAAATAAATCCAAACAAGCACTGGATAACCTTTGTTTAGGAATGAGTTTTCTAAAAATTCTGCATTAAAAAAAAACAAACAAAAACATTTACGACGCATTATTTAAATTCTGTTAGCCAAGTCGAGTATATAATTCAAAATGTACATGAAAAGAATTAACTGAATTAAATTTTTAGTTAACAATTAAAAAAAGAACAAGTAATTGATTGCAATAATATTTGAAAATTTCTGGTTTAGGATAATATTTTCTATTATCTAATTACTCTTTTAAAGGTAATTGGTTGATTCATTTTCCACGGTTTATCAAACCTTTGTAGGTCGTTTAAAACCAGAAAATATTTTTACATTGTAAGAATTTAGTTTTTGAGATAATATTGCTATAGCGATATAATTCTTACTAATTGACCCATAGCTGGAGGAGAAGAAGTGGATTTATACCTTTCATATTTTTGCCTAAGTGAATATAACGAACCAAAGGAGAATTGGAACTCGGATTTCCGATTAACAATTCCCAGGCCATTATCCATTATATCACTCACACATCTAAGTTTACAGCACCGTTTCTTAACTTCGGTGATCATACGGGAACCGATGTTTTAACGTGATGCGGCCGTAAACCCTTCAGTTAAGGAATGCACATTTCTTTAAACAGTGGCCATTACATCCACGTGCCTGCGCACTCGAAAGAAAAATAACCCTGTTTAAAAAACGGAGCGTCTACGGGTTTCCATTAAAAATAAGGTTTGAACTAATAACAAATGTCAGATTTTTATTTAAAAAAAAAGCCATTAATTCAGCTTACGTGAAAATCTGAACAAGGAGATGTGCGTTTCTTAAAATAGGGTAAATAGAACCTTGCTGCGCTATAACATTCTTTCTGGCCGATCAAGCTAAAGCACGCCGAATCAAACGGTAGATTCTCCTACAAAAATAAATAATGTAACATGCTTATATCAATATAAAACAGAGATCAAATAACAGCCCATGCGGTGGCGGATCTTGGATTCTCCACGGGCGAAGGAATTCAAAACTCGAAAGTTAGCATGAAAGGTTTTGCCACGCTTTTGCGGGTAGGGGATAAGTGTTGTGTAGTCAAATCGGCTTGTCTATTTCCGGTTGTACAATGAATATATATGACACTTTTGGTAGATTGTCTACGAAGAAATGGGGGAGAAAATATGAAAAAGAAAGATTGAGAAAGAGGCTCTTTTTTTCTCTTTAATCATATCACGTCAAGCAAGGCGATAAAGCCTCTAAAAACACAAGGGGTTACTGGGAGTGAACGAATCTGACGAATAGAATTACTGAATAGAAAGAACAATAAAAGAACAGGATTCAAGAGTTTTTGAAGATCCTAGTTGACAGGAAAGCAAGAAACCGGAAGAGAGTTCCACCAGCGAGAAGTGCAAGAGAAGAAACTGTTAGCATAGAAGTAATTTCATCTAGCAATTTCAAGAGTAAGCGTTAAATTAAAGCAGTAATCGCTGGAGGCGAGAGATAGTGATGGAGGATATTTTTTAGCAAGAGGGACAGGAAAGAAAAAAAATGGTCAGGTAACATTAATTTTTTGAGAAAGTGAGAAAAAGGCGTGAGAAATGATGGAAACTGTTTTTTTTTTTTAGAAAGACGAGAAAAGAAAGTGAAATGCGCCAAAATTGGGAAGAAGAGAATAGAATGAATGCGTGAAGTGAATCGAAAATCAAAAATTAAAGCGAGGTAGAGGAGAAGGAGGAGAAAGAGAGAGTGAGAGAGTGAGTGAGTGAGTCGGAGAGAGAGAGAGAGAGAGAGAGAGAGAGAGAGAGAGAGAGGCAAGAAGCAGGGGGAGTAGAAGGTGGGAAAGGAGGAGGAGGAGATAAAAGAGAAGGAGCAGGAGTTAGGCGAAAACGATTCCTCTGTGAAAGACAGCAAAAAAAGAATTAAATCAGATATTTAAATTGCCGAAAGAAATGCAATAGATATTGCGACCCGAAATAATAATTAAAAAAATTTTTTTTATTACTTTTTTAAAATTAAATTTTACAAAACTTAATAGCGGGGTCCAGTTTGCTATGTAATTCCACTGTAAATTGTTCTTCCTACGGAAGCCCAAACAAAATATGCTCATATCATGTCATTTCTTAAAATATAAAAAATAAATATCTATCTATATTTTTGAGATGAGGTACTGTAATTATTTACACTATTTACATTGTTCAGACTCTTGTCCTTATCTTCGTTGCCATATTCACGACGTTCTTCCGGTGATTGGAACTTCGAACTGAACTCTTTATTTCGTCCACCGGGGTAGATTGTTCTAGTTCCACGTGTCATGCCATCATTAGGGCGTTGTGGAAATTAAAGTGCTACATTGAGAAAATCGAAATAAAACATTCAATTGGTGGAGCGAATTCGAATTCCAGTCAAGTTCGTTGCATTCACTTTCGCACAAATACATTTCGGAAAGTTATCAATCCCTCCTACTCCAACTTTTTCCTTTTCAACCGTTCTTGCATGATGCGGTATGACCTCGGAATGTCGTACATTCTTTAATGTACATTCTTTAAACTTTAGAAGTCTGCTTTACTTGGTTACAGCCAACATTCAGCGAAAGGTGCTCTTTGTCTGAGGTCGTACCACATCATGCAAGAACGGTTGAAAAGGAAAAAGGTGGAGTAGAATGGAGTGATAACTTTCCCAAATGTATCTGTGCGAAAGTGAATGCTTGAAACTTGACTGGAATTTGAAATCGGCCCACCAATTTCTCGTTCCGAGCTGCTTTCTGTTACACCACCGCACATCATATGACGTGTATCGCATGCATTTAAAAAAAGTTGAAGAAACAAACGTTGTTTTTGGTATAATTCAGTACCCGTCGGACGTTGCCTTTTTTTTCATCTTTTGAATGGCTGGAATTTTTTTTCATCCCAAGCAAGGCGGGAGTGTCACTGGCTTGCAAGGGGTTACACAGAGTGAAAGTGAGAAAAAAATGTGTATAGGAGAAATGAGGAAAGGTTAAAAATGAACAGGGTTCAAGACATCACAAGATGGCGATTGACGTTACATTCAAATTTTTTGAAGATTGTATTTATCAGGGAAGCTAGTAAACGGAAGGGAGTTCCACAGGCGGGAACTACGAGAAAAGAAGTTGCCGGAATAGAAGTGGCGGTTAGATTTAACTATTTCAGCAGTAAAAGGGTGGGACCTAGTTGCCAATCTAGTAGCACGCTTAAATTCATGTAGTCGGGGCACCAGGAAAAAAAGCTCCTCAGAGCAGTACCTGTGGAAATATTAATAGAAAAGACAGAGGGAAGCCACATCACGTCTGTGAGAAAGTGACTGGAGTCGAGATGCCAGGTCAGGACCTATCACATTGCAGATTCTTCTTTGGATTTTGTCGATAACCATGAGATGGACAGCTGGGACACCAGATATGGCAACAGTGCTCAATGCACGGACGAATAATAGATTTTCAGATATGTAAGATGGACTCTGACGAGAAAAACCTTCTGACACAACACAGTGGGCTAAATTCCATTGCAGCAGATATTGAAAAAGGAAAATGACACTTACCCGACATACACATTTAATGCAAGGGTCGTCGGAAATGAGGGGAATAAATACTTCTTCCCCTTCGTTTGTGCACTTGGCATCCGAACCTGACAAAAATACAAAAAGAAAAATCAGACATTATAACAAATTTAAAACTTTAAAAAACAAAAGATAATCACTCACTAATTACTTGAATTTATGTTCAATGTTAAAAGAAATAATAACATATGTTAATCTCTGTTGACTGAGGAGGCACGGTTGAGTAATGAGGAGGCACGGTGGAGTAATGAGGAGGCACGGTGGAGTAATGGATAGCGGCTTGGATTGAGGAACCGCAGAGCCGAGTTCGAATTCCAGTCGAATCCATTACATTCACTTACGTGCTAATACCCTTGGGAAAGGTGTGAATCCTCTTCTTCTCTCTCCAGCTATGGGTAAATTAAGGAAAACTCTGAATTCAAAACCTGCGGAGGGTTCAAAAAGTGTGGATGCACAAAACCTTCACCACTATAATCAAATCTCATGTGCTATAAATGCGGGTTGTGAATTCCAAATTCCCATGAAACTCCAATATTGGGGCCGGTTCAACCCACCTCGTCGTGAATGCCGTTACAAGTAATGGATAACGTCTCGGATTGAGAATTCGGAATCCATTACATTCACTTATGTGCTAATAACCTTGGGAAAGGTATGAATCCTCTTCTTCTCCACCCCCCCCGCCAGCTATGAGTAAATAGCAGGACAGACCAGGTTCTATAGCCTTGGATGGCAACAGGTCTATCGCAGAAAGAAATGGAAACCTACCACGGGAAAAAACTGCCTCGTCAGTCATGTATCGGAAGATACATGATCGCCTACGCGTGTATCACGCATGGCATATAACTGACTGATATTGAATGGATACATACACATATATAGAAGGTAATCGAATGACAAAATAGAAAAAAATAATTCTTCAGATTAATAATTGTTTATTGATGTGTATTTGGGCAGCAATCCCTCTTTTATACAAGTTTCATTAAAACGACTGACTGAGGTACTCGTATTTGTAAAATTTGCTATGCATATAATGAGGGCTAGATTATGACATTTTGGGGCTCCCTAGGCTAATTAAATTATGCATGCTCGTCAGCCGGCGATTTTTAATTCTGACCTTGTGTTTTCTCAACCTACCTTTATCTTTCGAGAAAGAGGTAACACTTTGCTTTTGAAATTTTCTTAAGAATTATTTTATCACCATTCCATTTATTAGTTCATTTCAAGAATTTGCAGTGAGTTTAGTTCAAACCATGTAAATGTCGCTAAAATATATAACGAGTGAAAAATATTCAAGCCTGGTTGGGGCGAGTTAGAGGGTGGCTCTGTGTGAGGGGAGGCCATAATTCCATTAGCCCAGGGACCCCAAATTTATAAATCGGTCCAGTTAAATGTTAAATTAATTTATTAGGCAACAATCCATTGAAAGTACATTAATTTAAGAACCTTCCGTCGTGAATTTACGTCCATAATCATACAACATATCTCGTTTAAGCTGATAAAATAAAACAAGCGATAAAAATAAAACAATAAACCAACAGGAGTAGAAAGCTGAATGAGGTTACTTAGGTTATGTATATAGATACACCGGATGTCAAAAACTTTAAATTTAAATTTGAAGACAAGTGTTCCCATATCTTTAGTGTTTTCAATGGAACCGACATTTGTAATATTTCTTCCCCACTCCAATAAAACTGACTATAAGTCTGAAGAAGTTTCTTCTAGAGACGTTGAGCTTTTTCCTATTTTGTCATTCAATTACATTTTTGTCATTCAATATATATATATATATATATATATATATATATATATATATATATATATATATATATATATGTGTGTGTGTGTGTGTGTGTGTGTGTGTGTGTATGTGGGTACACGCCTATGTGTATATACGTGTATATGTTATTGTGTATGTGTGTATTCGCATGTGCTTTTGAACATAGAAATATAGGTCCTTGCTGGATTAGATAATCGTTATATTTATTTTATATGTTTATATTTGATTTGTAACCTGTGGTCGATATTAAATTTGTCAAATTTTCTCAATTACAAAGCGGCACGCCGTTCAATTTTACTTTCCGTCGTCCCATCTCTCTCCCCCACCTCGTCTTTCCCTCCCTCTTATTCTAACATTAGATTGTCTATGGTGTGTGTATGTCACCACGAAATGTATCTTTATGCATTAGACATCCGACAACATTCATTTTTCTCTTACTTAAACCCCTTCCACCCACCTCTCCTAAAATTCTCTCTGTTAAGGTTTAATCTCCCTCCTCCTCATACTTACACTCTCTCTAAATTCTGTTTTTATTTCCGGAGTTGTTTTTTCTGTTTTTTTGAATTTGTAGGTCTGATGAATTGATCGTATTTACGATTCCAATGGAATAAATTATGACCATGGAATATTAGTGTTTAAGCCTTTTATTATATATATATATATATATATATATATATATATATATATATATATATATATATATATTAGACATTGAGGTCAACATGCTTAAACGAAATAGTCTGGGCCCGATAATTGTGTTCCCTCTTTTATACAAGTTTCAGTCTTTCAAGTATTTTCTTTTGTGGTTATAAAATGCGTAAAAACTGACCAAATATTCTATATATCCGAGCGCTTTCGATTATTCTCTTATCAAGCATGTTTTTTTTAAATTTTTAACTGAATATGTTATTTTTTTATATATGTGCATCTATAGTGATGGGAATGTTTCTTTTTTAAATTCTTTTTTATTGTTAATGCTTCCATTATTTTTAGTTGGTTTTACATGTTGGTGAATCTATTATGTGTTTTTCCCAGTTATTTTGCCGACAGAATTTGGTAGGTTTCCGTGTGTTTAAATGGGTCCTATCTGAGATATGGTTTGAAAGATGTAATTTGAGTTTTCTTGATTAACATGTATGTAGAGGTAGTGCATGCGTATATATATATATATATATATATATATATATATATATATATATATATATATATAACAAACTAGATATGTTTATTTGTGACGCGTTTTATCCGTTAGGATTTCATCGGACTGAAACGAGAGACGTAGGTCGTTTCAAAATTTTTGAAAGATTATTTTAAAAGTTTCTCATATTTTCTAAATATACATACATGCATAGATACACACACACACACACGCACACACGCACACACGCACTCGCACACACACACACACACACACACACACACATATATATATATATATATATATATATATATATCATTAATATTATAAAGGTTATATTTAGTGAATAATTGTGTTTGATTAGATATCAGTCTTTTTTATACACAGAATAATCAACGTTTCGACGGCATAGTTTTTAATAAAGCGAATGTTCCCTTCGTCAAATTTCGAACCTGCGTTTCGCTTATATAAGGTAAACCATCGCATAGACCGGTGTGTTTTTAGACAGCTGCGAAGGACTTTATGACCAAAGAAAAGTTCATTTACCTTTATAAAGGAAAGCACATCTCTCGTCCTTTCAAAGCCCAAATCTGCTAACCATTTTTTTTCATATCCCAAACATAAACGAAATAATTTCAATGGAATTAATGGATTTTTACTTCGACATTAGCAAGGATTCAGTTGAAGGTCTTTGCTAAATTTAACCGACATAGTCTTTCTGTGTGATGTTTTTTTTTATTGTATTTTTCCTATTTTCGAATAAATTGTTGCACATCTGAATAAAAATTGTGGGTAAACTGTTCAAACTTGTTTTTTGTTGCTTTCTTTTTTCAAGTGCTTTCGATCGTTTCAAACATTATCAAGAATCAGATGTTGTTTCCCTACTGTTATTCACCAAATACAAGTCGTAAGTGTCTCTCAATGTACAGGGCCACTGAGTGTCGTAAGGTCGTATGGAGCAGTATCTAGGTATGTATATAGTATAGATAATGGTTAACCCTCGACTTGACGATTATCTTAACGACTGTAATGATCAGGGAAGCATCCTTTCTGTGGAAGAAGCTGTCTGAGTGGAAATTATTTCTTACTAATGGAGTGTATATACGAAATTCACTCTGGTGTGAGCTTGAGTCCCAATAGATGTTCCAGACAAGGAGCATTATTGAGAGGACCAAAGCTCATCATGATTGGAGAAAACTCAAGGTCTGCTCTATGATAATGAAGCGTTACTAGCCTGGTTTGTTGGTACTGAATGCTTACAAACTAGTGCCTCCCCCATTGAGTTAGCAATATCAGAGGAAAGATCACCCGTTCTGGTCATCATGATTTTGGGTGGAACTCCCATAAATCTGCATATATATTTACTAGTGACCCGGCAGTATGCTAAACAAGATTTTGTTGGCTCCATCTTGGCATAATTTTATATGATATAAACAAATATATAAGAAAAAATAATGAGTAAGTGAATTGCAAAAAAAAAAAAAAAATTCTTAGTGACGCATTTCGATCCGAGAACAACGGCCATATACAAGATTAAGGACGAGAACACTTTCCTGTTTCTAAGGACCTTTACGATTACTCTATATTAAATTTTTGAAAGGCATCTCTGGCTATTTCTGTGTTCCCTCGGAGAGCGAAGTTCGAATTTCAGTCGTATCCATTACATTCACTTACGTGCTAATACCCTTGGGAAAGAAAAAAGTATGAATCCTTTTCTTCTCTCTCCCCAGCTATGGGTATATAGCAAGACAGACCTTGTTCTATAGACTTGGATGGCAACTGGTCTACCGCAGAAAGAAATGGCAACCTACTGCGGGAAAAGATCTGCATCGCCAGTCATGTATCGAAAGATACATGATCGCCTAAGCGTATATCACGCATGACACATAAGTGACTTAGTGGAGTAATGGGTAGCGGCTCGGATTGAGGAATCAGAAAGCTGAGTTCGAATTCCAGTTGAATCCATTACATTCGCTTACATGCTAATACCCTTGGGAAAGGTATGAATCATCTTCTTCTCCACCCCCCAGCTATGGGTAAATAGCAGGACAGACCTTGTTCTATAGACTTGGATGGCAACTGGTCTACCGCAGAAAGAAATGGCAACCTACTGAGGGAAAAGATCTGCATCGCCAGTCATGTATCGAAAGATACATGATCGCCTAAGCGTGTATCACGCATGGCACATAACTGACTGGCTCTGATTTCTCTATCATCCATATTTTTTTAAAATCAGCTTATTATGGGATGACGAGACATTTTTAGTGCTTATTTAATAAAGGACGACTTTTATTTTTGTTTAAAAACGTTTTCATTGTAAATTTCAGAGAGAAAAGTAAAGTGTACACAACACAAGTAGCAAACGAAGGAAACTCAAGACAAACAATGTTCAGATAACGAGTAGAGGAGAAGGAGGGTGATTCAGAATATGTCTAAACATCACCTCCTTTGCACAGATTCGCAGTAAAGGAACATTATCTATCTATCTATCTATCTATCTATCTATCTATCTATCTATCTATCTATCTGTCTCGTCAGTTCATACCTGTCTACCTCACGTAGAACGTATCTATCTATATAAATACTCTTGTCCACAACACTGTACACAATAGATGCACACACGTAAATAAACCGTAAATACACGCATAAACCACTCTTACACATACACTCTCGCTCTTTCTTTCTCCCCCTCTCTCACCCCTCATTCTACCTATCCCGTCAGTTCATACCTACCTATCTATCTATCTATCTATCTATCTATCTATCTATCTATCTATCTATCTGAGGTCTGATCCTTGAAATAATGATTTTAGGAAAATCGCATATATGAAGAGGAGAAGGCAAGAATAAGAGAGTAGTCTGTGTGTGTGTGTGTGTGTGGAGGGGGGATAAACAGACTTTTAAAGAGAGAGAATGAAATAGAATTAAATTTAGAGAGAGAGAGAGGGAGAGGGAGAGGGAGAGAGAGAGGGAGAGGGAAAGAGGGCGATAGAGAGAAAACAAAAGCTTATATGAAACTGAATGAAATTAGAATGGAATGTTTAACAGAAAAATCGACTCACACACGCGGACATTAATACATATGTGCATTTTGGAACTGGTTTTGAAAAGTTCTCGGTCCGACCAAAAAGACATTCCTCGCCACCTAACTTCTGATATTTGGTCATTTGGTTATATTTCGAAAGATAATTGGGTTCTGACTATTTCTTCGCATGCAGCCCCTTCTATCCAAACATAGATGCACGCATATCTATCTATCTATCTATCTATCTATCTATCTATCTATCTATCTATCTAATTCTACTCATTTCTTTCTATCTATCTATCTATCTATCTATCTATCTATCTATCTATCTATCTATCTATCTATCTCATTCTGCTCATTTCTATCTATCTATCTATCTATCTATCTATCTATCTATCTATCTATCTATCTATGTGTGTGTGTATATATATATATATATATATATATATATATATTGGAAAACGATATATACATTTTTGTATTCCAAGAATAATTTCTGAAAATAGATGACAAAAAATGTTTATGTGACGCGTTTCGTCTAAAAAGTGATGTTTCTGCTTATGAGATTACGCATGCGCATGAAAAAGAGAGGATGGTGAAATTGTAAATTTAATTTAAAAATTTTTTTTTTAATTACTTTACCTGACCTTGTAGATAAACTAAACAAAATCAAATGTACGATAGATTTCATTTACGAAACGAAAACAAACAATGCTTTAACCTTTTTAGATACCATGTCACACCGTAATGACAACAGCCTAAAACTAAGTGTTCATCGTAAATCAGCTAATAAAAATGATCTCATAAATTTCTATTCTCACCATAAGAAAATAAAATCCATAATAATCACTAGATTCTATTTAAGAGCACCTAGAATTTATAGCCCTCAATATGTAATATCAAAAATATTCTAAGCTCCTCCAAACCCGCAAAATAAGAGGCTCGTTAAATATTTAAAAAATGTGGAGTGGTCCATTCTGATAAACCCAATGAGTAGTAGATAGCTTCGCATATCATGCAGTTCATATTCCTCTCCGGTCTTTTGAACAGGAGTAGAGGTTTATTCCTTGTTTTCTGTTTAGGATTGGGTTTCCGGTTCCTTCTAAAGTTTTCTCATTTTCTTTCACTCGCAGTAGCCATTTGCTTTGTAGCATTGCCGCCTTGCTTGTGGTGAATCAAAATAAAACAAAAACATATTTTCCTGTCACTGAATTCTATCACAATTACAATTGAAAAGTATTTATCTAAGCTTAACATAAAATTTTTTACAACTGCTTTTAAAACAATAAAAGACTTAATAAAAAACAAAATAAGATAACACTTGAAGAAAGAATTTACTCTATCTCCTGTAATGATTGCCACAAGGTATACAAAGGAGAAACCTCGAGGAATTTAAAACAAAGATTATATGAACACAAAAAGGATCTTTTACAAAACAACACATTCAATGCATTAGATGCTCAGCGTATCGTCTGACAATAATTTTGATTTGATTTATTCCTACTAATTATTATTTACTGTAGATAATAACAGGCAAAATATCCTCCCACTTAATTTCTAATTAAATTTTCTTGTTTCTTAAGACGTTACTTAACCTTTGGAAGGTAAGTTTCACTATTCCATGATTCTTCTTCTTCTTCTTCTTCTTCTTCTGTTCCGTGTACCATCAGAACATAGGTGATCATGGCTTTCCATAATTCAAATTAAAAACACAAGATCAACTTCACAGACAAACTGATCAATGATCAATCTGTTCGAATTATTTTAATTTTGGAGTACAGATCTTTATATATATATATATGTATGTGTGTGTGTGTGTGTGTGTCGCAGAGATACAGGGAGCTTTTGGCCTGAATCGATCTGAGAACTTTCAGCATTCCCTTGAAGAATATGTTCGCTCTCTATCTCTCTGTATATAAAAAGAACCTGTTATGGGATATTCAATGGTATACCTTTGAAAGTCTTTGTTGGTAAGTTGGTTGTTCCATCAATGCAACTCTTTGCTCAGATGACTTGACTCCAATGTATACGACTTCTTTTTGCCTTTTATTCTCACCCTCTTGAGAGAGAGAGAGAGAGAGAGAGAGAGAGAGAGAGAGAGAGAGAGAGAGAGAGAGAGAGACTGGTTGAGTGGGGATGGCACCGGCCTAAAAAGGCGCGCGTGACTTCGAATAGAAGCTAGGCAAGTGCGTAAATGTGGCCATTGGAGCGTCAAGTGCAGCAAGTGAATAAATTTCCTTCGACGGAACGATGTAAGCATATATAATGCACGGCCGACTTTCAAGCCAGTTATGGGTCAGCAGCGTACACAGGTCGAATTCAATAAGTAGTTCCAGTAACTGACATCGTTTTTACCCAGCTCCTAAATCATATTCATCCGCGACTGCGAGCGCACGCACGCGGAAACGCACGCATACACACATATGTCTGTATATATATATATATATATATATATATTATTATTATTATTATTACTTAAACATTATTTTAATGAATACCGATATTTGAGTAGGCGCTTCGTGTAGTTATTAGACAGTATATTCATTTATTCAATTATTTATTGAATATTCGAGAAATCTTATAAGAAAATTATGCATTCCCCGGCAGGATTCGAACCTCTGTTTCTCTAGGGAAAACTGTCATTAGATCTGACGATCTATTTTCTCGAATATTCAGGTTGGTAGGCTCACTGGTTCACAAATGACTTCGGAACAAATTTGTACCTGATAAAAAGCCAGAGTTCAGAATCGGCTTCTTTGTCCATTAAGTTCTTTTCGACAAACGGCTTATCGCTTGTTTGACTTTTCGAATCTAAATTTCGCTTCGTATTTCGGTCAGTTCTAATTGCCAGCACGAACGAACCCCGCTTTTAGAAGGTGAGTGTGGATTACCAGAGATCGCAGTAAATGAATGCCGCCATAATCGTTGCTTACAGTTCAACTTTGATGTGACAAGGAGTTTTGTTGTTCTCTCGGTCAACTGCGCCACATAATAATCACAGGGGTTGCAGCCTGGGGAGTTAGGTGGCCAGATATAAGGGTTGATATGGTCGAAGAAATTGTCTGAAAGCCATGACAGGTTTCTCTTGTTTGTGTGGCATGGTGCAGAGTCCTGTGGCCAAACATAGGGTCTTCCAGCAGACACCATCTTAACCCAGAGCAGAACTACTTCCTGAAGGCACATGATGTAAGCCTCCATGTTGAGTCCGAGGCCTTGTGAAAAGATGAATGCATTCATAACGTCGCCATCATTAGTGATCACACCAAACACCATGATGTTTACTGGATATATCATCTCTTTCCGAATCCTCTGCACTGTTTTCAGATTGACACCTAAACATTTTGAAATGTTCGCATTGGAGCTTCCAGCAAGAATACCAGGCAGTACAGCATGCCGTTTCCAAATTTCTGTTGAATTGCGTCATGGTGCTCTTTTTCTCACAGACGGTTCCCAACTGACCCTACTAGACTGGGCAGTCGAAAAAATTAAAAAGAAACAACGCGCATGCGTGAAATAAAAATATGAAATGGCGAAATTTACCTATTAAATCAAATTAATATATAAATATATATATATATATATTAATTTGATTTAATATATAGAGAGAGGGCGCTATAGGTAAATTTTCGCCATTTCATATTTTTATTTCACGCATATATATATATATATATATATATATATATATATATATATATGCGCAAAATAAATAGGTTACTTAACAAAACAAGGACAAACGAAAGAGTACCAACATAATCAACATTTATTGAATATTAATTATATGATAGAAATAAAGCTTTTAAGTTTTCGGAATTTTGACGTTCCAAACTTTTCATGAATCCTTGGGTATTAGCACTTAAGTGAATGTAATGGATTCGACTGGAATTCTGACTTGGCTTTCTGATTACTTAATCTGAGCCACTATCCATTACTCCACCGTGCCTCGGTAGCAAATTAGTTTAAGTTGTTATTAGTCATGACGGTCGTCTTCGAGTATAGAATCCAGAGGTTAGCAGTGAATGTTTCGAAGACAGTAGGAAAGCGTTGTTCAGGTTAGCAGTGGATATTTCGATAAAAGTAGCAGAGCTTAGTTCGTCTTTCTGCTTCTCTTCGCCTGACAAGCTGAACTGGACATTCGGGTAGAGTGAACAAAAATGGCCGACTTTATACACGACGGATAGAATGTTCTACGTCTTCTGATTGGTTAACCTTCTATTGGTAGACTATAAAGTGAGTCAAGGCATTTTGATTGGCTCACTAGTTACATACATATACACAAAAAACTGTAACATAAGTTAGTAAATTTATGAATGATTACTTCCCTTAGTCGTTTTAATAATCTATGCAAATAGAATACCTGCATTTAGATAAAATTAGTTCCCGAGCAAAATGAACCTTACTCCTGCGTCTCATAAATTGCAGTCTTATTTGTTCAAGTCTTTTATGTGAGGCACTTAGATACCTTTATCTGTTAAGCATTCGTCTTGCTTCAATTTCGTTTTGAAATAGGCTTTGTCGTTACTGTCTTTGTCGTTCTGTTACTCATATTTTTCTTCCGAGAGATATTTTCATTTCACTGTTATATTAAACACAATATTTTTCACACGAAAAGATATTGAGCAAAAAGCGATTTATATAATACCAGGAGTAAACAATAAATCATAGATACCATTGAACATTTAAGAATATAAAAGGGAACGGATTAATTAAACGGTTCATTGACCTCTATTTTAGGTGCAAAGTTTTTCTCTCCGCTTTATTGAATCTCAGTACATTGTTTCAATATTTTTCTTTCATTACATTTCACTATTAAAACTTCCTAACAATTACCGTTATTTTTTAAGGTACGGACACACTAGTTTATTATATATGTTAATGGGCTTGACTTGCATTTTTGTACTTTGAGATCGACATTGCACTTTGGTAGGGTATCAGATATTTAGATATTTTTAGTGCTTTTCCATGGACGACACTTTTCATTGATACGCTCAACATTCGCACCAATTCAGATCAAGCAACACATATGAAGCTTGGACAAATGCTGACTCATTTTTAGATTTTCGTGTTCACATACACACACGCGTGTGCGCGTACACACACACACACACGCGCGCGCGCGTGCACATTTTCTGTATTTTTAGAGAAAATGGAAAGAAAAAAGAAACTTATACCTAAGATCAGGAAAAGGCAATCGAAATTTCTAGAGCACATAATGAGGAAAGAGGGCTTAGAAAATCTGATACTCACAGGACAGATTGAAGGCAAGAGGGACAGACAATGATGGCGGGACAAGGCTTAGGAGAAATAACAAGAAGACACAATTTATCAAGAGCTACAAATAACAGGAAATTGTGGAGAGCCATGATCACCTACATCCTAAAAGGACACGGCACATAGAAGAAGAAGAAGAAGAAGAAGAAGAAGGAGGATGAGAAGAAGAAGAAGAAGAAGAAAGATCACTTGGGTGTTGCTGAATGTGACACCTCTCACGCAACCATTGAAAACGAAAGAAAAGAAGAAAATAAAAGTTGAAGTGATCGAATGACAATTTGCTGAGTGTGAGTCATGAAAAAGACAGAGAAGTGGAACCATGGGGCCAATAGTGAGAAGACATTGGGCCGGGGTAGGAGAGGGAGTGTAGTGCAGTTTAGGAATTCCATTCATCGGGAAACTACGATGGCGTACAGTTTCTAGGTGCGAATCGGGTGAGCTAACACATTTACAGTGTAGATGGAACACACTCACACATGCATATATATATATATATATATATATATATATATATATATATATATATATATATATATATATACGAGAGGGAGGATGAATAAATTTGTAGTTTTATACATATTAATTTGCTGAAATTCGATCGAAAAACTTTCACTGTATAATGTTCGTCATTAATATTCGTCATGAAATTAAGTGTTGAAATATGGATATTTTTATATGGAATACATGTGTTTTTAATACTGTGGACGTATTCATTGATCTTCCTTATATATATATCTATATATATATATATCTATATCTATATCTATATATATATATATATATATATATATATTTTAATATAAATATTATATAATATATATATATATATAAATATAAATATTTTATATATATATATATATATATATATATATATATATATATATATATATATATATATATAAATTTAATACAAATATGAAATTTATCACACAGCTATTCTTGCTTTCAGTTTCACATTATTTTCTATTCCGTTTCCACGTCTTTTATATTTCGATAAAACTACCAAATTCATTGGCTACTATGTTACAGTTAGTTAGTCTCCTATTTCTGTAACCGGTGCTGGGTGATATTCATACCAGTGTTTATTATCATCTTTTCCAAGGTGTTTACTCATTGTCAAGTTTAAGTATTGCTCCAGTCTATCGTAACGATTTTAATATTCATTTGGCGCATGTACAGAATATCCTTAGATGGTCTATTGTTTCCTAATATTTCTCACAGAATCTGCATTTTGGATCCACACTATTATGTATGATATTTCCCTGAAAATTCCCAGTGAAAAAACTCTCTTCCTGCGCTGCAAGAGTAAAGCCTCCCGCTTCAATCTTTAATCCAGATGCTCATAACCATCGATAAGTATTAACTTTATCAACATCAGCTTTATTAGCCTCGTTCTGGATATTGGCCATGCAGAGGTTCGTCTTACCAGCATTGTTTTATCTGTTCAAGAGCTTGATCCTTGGATTTCTTTTTCATAATTTTTGGTTGGTTCTTGGGTTCTGTTTTGTTTTTCGTCAGAAAATACTAAATGTAAATCTCGTTTGTATTTACAACCTTTCATGATTTAATATTTTTTATCTGTTTTCGTGTTGCTTGAATAATTGTATCATCCAGTACTTCATTTTTTCCATGTATGTTAGTAAGTCAATAGTTGTTGTCTTGTATGGCAATCCTAGCTGAATAAAACCCTCTTCCATCTTCTTTACGGGGTATGTATAGACGGTTTGCATCAGCCTGTAGATGATGCAT